TTATAAGTTCATAGGAATTGTTGATGGCTCTGAGGTTTGTCCCTGTCCATTTTTTCTTGATGAATCTGGCAAGAACACTGGAATTCCAAATCCGGATTTTGATTTGTGGTATGAAAAGGATCAAAATATCCTTATTTGGCTGAATTCTACACTTTCGGAAGATATTATTCCTTTCACAATTGGTGTTCAATCATCTCGTGAATTTTGTCTCATGTTTGAGCAAATTTTCAAAGATGTCTCAACTGCTCACATCCATCAACTTTGATCTCAACTTTATTCTGTTAAGAAATGAGATCTTACAATTTCTGAGTACATTCAACTCATTAAGACCATTTCTGATGCACTCATGGCTGTAGGAGCTCCAGTTTCTGAAAGTGATCTGATTGCAATTACATTGCAAGGGCTATCTGATGATTATGAGTCATTCATTGACTCGACTATGCTTTGCATCTCGTCTACCTCTTTGGACGAATTACATGGACTGTTGATCAACAAAGAGTTGTTTATGAATCGCAAAAGAAGTTTGTTGCCTTTTCTATCTCTGAACCTGTTCAGGCTTATGCAGCTCAATATTCTCAGCCTTAAGCCCTTCTTCTTCCCACACCACAAGGTTATGCTACACCAAATTCTCGTGGCACTAACTATCGTGGCAAAGGTCATTACAGGGGTAATAACTATCGTGGCAACAACTCTCGTGGTCACTATCGGGGTAATTACATAGGCAATTCTAATAACTTCAATGCAATTCTGGTGGTTACAATTGCAACTCTGGAGGCCATTCTTTTGGTAACAACTCTGGTAACAAATTTCCATGTCAAATTTGCCATGCTTCAGATCATGAAGCTATTGATTGCTTCAAAATGATGAATCATGCCTTTGCTAGCAAAATACCTCATGCAAAAACTAGTAGCTATGTGTGCTCACACTAGCTACAAACCTTCTGCTTCTACTTGGCTCATGGACTCTGGAGCCACATCCCATATTACCAATGATGTTTCTGCCATTCAATCTCTCGTGCCATATAATGGTCAAGACAAGGTCTATATAGGTGATGGTCAAGGTATACCCATCCATCACATTGGTACTAGCACTCTTAGCACTCATATTGCCAATTTTCGTTTAAATAATGTTCTTCATGTTCCTGCAATGAAGCATAATCTTCTCTCTGCTTATCAACTCCTAAGAGATAATCACTGCAAATTAACCTTTGATTCTGATGGATCTAAAATCAAGGATCATATTTCGCGGATGATGTTTTTTTGGGGGCCAGTTAAACATGGCTTCTATCCATTTCAAGACACATCAACTGCATTCAACTCTCATTCAGCACTTATGAGTACTAAAGCTTCTTTGCAAGTTTGGCACAACAGACTTAGTCATCCATCATCTGCCATCTTCAGGAAAACTTTAAATAATAGTTCTATTGTCTATACTGGTAAAAAGTTCACTTCTTTCTTTTGTTCAAATTGTGCCATTGGCAAGAATCACAAACTGCCATTTACTACCAGTGTTGGTTCAGTGTCTGTTGCTTTAGAACTTGTGCATTATGATGTCTGGGGACCTGCACCTACATCTTCTGTTAGTGGTTATAGATATTATGTCTTGTTTGTTGATGAGTTTACAAAGTATAGCTGGATCTTTCCATTGAAACTCAAATTTGAAATATATTCCATATTTGTTCATTTCAAAAGCTATGTGGAAAACTTGATTTGCAATAAAATCAAAGTTCTTCGAATGAATTCAAGAGGTGAATTCACTCAAATTATTTCTACTACAACATGGTATTATGCATCAGCTTTCTTGTCCTCACACACCAGAACAAAATGGTTGTGTCGAGAGGAAACATAGGCATGTCACAGAAATTGCTCGGACTCTTCTCACTGCATCAAAGGTTCCAAACAAATTCTGGGTTGAGGCATTCTCTACTGCCTTGTATTTGATCAACCGGATTCCCATTTCTGGTCTTATAATCTTTCCATGGGAATTATTATTTCACCAGTCTCCAGATTACTCCAAGCTTAAAGTTTTTGGATGTAGCTGTTATATGTGGCTTAAACCTTATACCACCTCCAAGTTAGATGGCAAGAGTATTCAATGTGTTTTTCTGGGCTATACCTTACAACACAAAGGCTATAGATGCCTTGATCCTCTCACATCCAAAGTATACATCTCAAGACATGTCTTATTCAATGAAACACATTTTCCCTTTCATGATTTCAAACCTTCAATCGATTCATCATCACAGCTACAAACCACTCATCTCTTACCTTCACACTTCCATTTTCAATACCCTGCAACCTACCACATTCACTACCACAGTCAACTCCCTCAATTCTAGCCATTTCTCCATGGTTACCCAACTCCTCCTCTTCCTCATCACATCCACCTATTTCTTCCAGCCTCGCTTCTTCTTCATCAGTACCACATCCCATCATCCCTACAAACACTCATTTTATGATCACCAGATCCAAAGTTGGGATTTTTAAACTAAAAGCCTTGGCAGCTACTAAACATCCTCTTGATCCTTTAACCTTTGTTCCCACCACTTATCTTCAAGCCTCCAAACATGATCATTGGAAGAAAGCCATGGCTGAGGAGTTTCAAGCACTACAATCTACAAGAACTTGGTCACTTGTTCCTTCCTCTCCACATCAAAATCTGGTGGGATGTAAATAGGTCTTCCAAATTAAAAGGAAACCCGATGGCACTGTGGACATGTACAAAGCCCGTTTAGTAGCAAAAAGGTTTCATTAACAAGAAGGCATTGATTTTCAAGAAACGTTTTGTCTAGTTGCTAAACCTGTTACTATCAGGATTCTTTTGACTTTGGCTGTGCAATTTGATTGGTGGATATTAGTAATGCATTTCTACATGGAACACTCAAGGATGGGGTTTTTATGCAACAACCTCCGGGTTTTATTGATCCATCCAAAGCTTCTTATGTGTGCAAGCTCTATAAATCCCTATATGGTCTCAAGCAAGCCCCTAAGGCATGGTATGACAAGTTATTTCAGACTCTTGTCTCTCTTGGTTTTTCCAATTCTCAATTTGATTGTTCTCTATTCGTTGCATATGAGCCTGCCCTTGTTATTGTCCTAGTATACGTTGATGATATACTAGTGATAGGGCCTAATGCAAAAATTTGCAAAGATTTTATCCATAAGCTCAATCAACTATTTCCAGTAAAAGACTTAGGCCCCTTACACAATTTCCTGGGTTTGGAAGTCCACAGAAGCTCAGAAGGAATTTTTCTCTCCCAACACAAATATGTCGTTGATCTTCTGCTCAAAACACACATGGATGGCAGTAAACCTTGTGCTACACCTCTTGGTAGTAAAAAACTGGATCATAGTGGTACACTTCTTTCTAATCCACATGAATACTGATCCATTGTTGGGGCATTGTAATATTTAACTTAGACTCGGCCTGATCTCTCTTTTGTTGTAAATCAACTCTGTTAGTTCTTACACCATTCAACAGAGACACATTTTCAGGCTGTTAAAAGAGCTCTTATATTTCTCAAAGGCAATGTTAATGAAGGACTTTGGTTCAAGAAAAGTTCATTGCATCTCACTGTCTTCTCGGATGCTGATTAGGCAGGATGTGTGTTTGACAGGCGCTCTACCAGTGGCTATTGTATTTACAATGGTAGTAATCTAATTAGCTGGAGTGCAAAGAAGCAACACACTGTTGCTCGTTCCTCCACAGAAGCTGAATATCAATCTTTGGCTCACACTTCTGCAGAGGTTACTTGGATCTACAAAATCTTCAAGGATATTGCCTTTCCTTTATCTAAAGTTTCAGTACTTTGGTGTGATAATGTGTCTTCCATCTCTCTAGCATCTAATATGGTCTTCCATGCTCGAACCAAACACGTGGAAATAGACTATCATTATATTAGGGAACTAGTATTGGCTTCTCTTCTGTCAGTTCGATTGCCCAGTCACAATCAAACTGCAAATATTCATACTAAACCCTTGCCCAAAGCTCGCTTTCAGCTTTGGTTCCTACTGGCTACTATAGAATTTTAATCACAATTGTACAGTCTATAACTTTAATTTTTGGTATACGTAGAGTTTATACTTGTAAGGTGATCTTAGGCCAAATTGGTGTTGCTAATATTTAGAAAGATATTTCTCATTGATTGAATCTGAGTTTTACATGGGGTATTTATACAAGTCAGCTAATAATGATTAGAAAACAGCTAATATAACTTATTAACCTTAAGCTATGATTAGTTACAATTCAGTTACAACAAACAAAACTTCTACACTAAGTAATTGATGACTGTACTGATGACTTGGATCCTAATTGGCACTGATGAGTTGACTGGGAATGATGTGCTTCTTTACACCCCCTCAAGCTAAATGGAGGAGCGCCAAGTGAAAGCTTGGATCTTCTGGTTGAAAATATTGGATTTGAAGTGTTTGTTATTACACACGAGAATGACAAGCTTGTGAGAATCCAAATACGTTTTTCCCATTTATGGTTTGATGTTATCCGTATCTTGTAGCTATTGTTATTTGAGTGTTTTAACTGCAGACGAAATGTGAGGAAGAGTGTGCTTTAGGATCCTGTATATGTTTAAGGGTTTATTGCATTACGTAAACATGAGCCTGCAAATCTATGTATTAGGATTCACAAGCAATAATCCAAGAAAAATGAAATGTGGAGTAACGTTGACGGGACATTGACGATTCAAAATATGAACTTGAATTAGAAGTTTTAGAGGGGATAAAAGAGTTATATTTTGCTTTGACAAAAAAAAAAGAGTTATATTTTGCTTTTTTTCTCCATGCTTGGAAAACGAAGTGAGACTTTTTTAGCCGTATGTATATATAAAATCATGGTGTCATACCCTTTATATATATATACTAGCCTCTCCGCACGCACTGACGTGCATGCGAGAGGTATTTTTGCATCACGGGCGCCACACGCAAAGATGTATTGCTTTAGATATTCTTATATCCTAATTAGCATTAAAGAGCACATCTTTCAGTATACAACTACATTGACAGGTGTTACACATTTCTAAAGATCTTTTTATATTATGTCAAGCCCACATCTGTCATTTGGTGTACGAAACTATTCAACATTATCAAAAAGTTTAAAATTCTATCACCCATTTACATAAAAATTAAAACTCTATAAAAGATGCTAATTACACCATCTGGCAATTGTAAGTTGACTACTCCCTTTGATGACATGCTTCAATGTGAACCAAGGTTCTAGGCAGTTGCATCTTTTGTATGCATGCCTCTTTTTCTCCAAGGGTGAGTGAAGAAAAGCTTTCATCATCGTATCTGTAATAGAAAAGAAACATGACATTCAAATGGTGTAGTAAAGGAATGCATACAATTAATACAAAATGTAGAAAAAAAATGTACCAAAATATAGTTTCATATAGCAAATGACGAATGTGGGCTCGATATAATATAAAAGATCTTTAAAAATGTGTAATACTCGTAATAAGAGGCTAAAAAGCTACAACATGACATGTAGTTTTGGTATAAATTAAAAGATCAACAACAACAACAACAAAGCCTTTTCCCACTAAGTGGGGTCGGCTATATGAATCCTAGAACGCCATTGCGCTCGGTTTTGTGTCATGCCCTCCGTTAGATCCAAGTACTCTAAGTCTTTTCTTAGAGTCTCTTCCAAAGTTTTCCTAGGTCTTCCTCTACCCCTTCGGCCCTGAACCTCTGTCCCGTAGTCACATCTTCGAACCGGAGCGTCAGTCGGCCTTCTTTGCACATGTCCAAATCACCAGAGCCGATTTTCTCTCATCTTTCCTACAATTTCGGCTACTCCTACTTTACCTCGGATATCCTCATTCCCAATCTTATCCTTTCTCGTGTGCCCACACATCCCACGAAGCATCCTCATCTCCGCTACACCCATTTTGTGTACGTGTTGATGCTTCACCACCCAACATTCTCTGCCATACAACATCGCTGGCCTTATTGCCGTCCTATAAAATTTTTCCTTGAGCTTCAGTGGCCTACGACGGTCACACAACACGCCGGATGCACTCTTTCCATCCAGCTCGTATTCTATGGTTGAGATCTCCATCTAATTCTCCGTTCTCTTGCAAGATAGATCATAGGTAACGAAAACGGTCGCTTTTTGTGATCTTCGCTAGATTGCTCCGGTCATTAGTGTGGATAAGTATATAAATGGATAGAGATAGGAAAGCAAACACAAGATGTACGTGGTTCACCCAGATTGGCTACGTCCACGGAATAGAAGAGTTCTCATTAATTGTGAAGGGTTTACACAAGTACATAGGTTCAAGCTCTCCTTTAGTGAGTACGAGTGAATGATTTAGTACAAATGACATTAGGAAATATTGTGGGAGAATGATCTCGTAATCACGAAACTTCTAAGTATCGGAGTGTGGTGTCGTCTTGACTTGCCTTATCTGTCTCATAGGTAGATGTGGCATCTTCTCTGGAAGTACTCTTCCTCCATCCAGGGGTGGTATCTTTAAACTGGTGGAGATGCACAAGGTAATGTATCAATTTCACTTGAAGCTTACTTGTAGTTTCAGGCTTGGTCAAGCGCGATACAAACCATGTAGTAGGAGTCCCCCAAGTCGCCGAGCTAGGGGGTCTGCTGAAAGAGGTGACAGACAAGGTAAGCAATCAGAGCTCCGACTGATTGTTCACCTTCTCCCCATCTTGCAGCAGCATGAAGGATAAAGAGAAGAAAAATGAGAAGAGATGATATGAGATACTTTTGCTTTTGAAGAAGTAACTTTCCACAGGCTTATTCTTGAACTGAGCTGGAGGGTTTTCTGGTTTCCTCCAGAGTATAAGGCCGACTGAAGAATTTGAGGGTCAAAACAAGTCCATCAAATCTAGAGTACGTTCCACCCTGCTGATATGGGATACTTTTGCTTTTGACAGAGTAATGGATGTATCGGCACGTGTGCTGTTACGCTTGTCTCCACATGCTTCCTTGTATCCTTCGCACTTGCCCTATCTGTTCCTCAAGCAGATGCGGAATCTTCCCTGGAAACATAAGATGATGAAGATGAGTACTCGAGAGCAATGCCAGGTAAGTAATCAGGTAAGGGGTTCCAGGCAGTCAGTTCCTGGCTGGAAGCTTGATTCCAAGTGCTGACTGATTGCTCTCTTTCTCCTTGTCTTGCAGGTAAAAACAAGGCCAAAAGAAAAAACAGGGAAAAAGCATGATATGGGATACTCTTGCTTTTAACCCTGATGATATGAGATATTCTTGCTCTAGTATAGCTTGTTTGCAGAGGTATTATCGGGGGGAAAGAAAGCTGAATATTTCGAAAGGCTTTGTTGGGAGTGCCCTCTCAGATATGATGAAGGGTTGAGCATTTTTGCAGGTCTGCCTGTCCGTTGGGGATGGAGGTCGACATATATAGGAGTCTCCCTAACAACAAGTAGTAATGCTATTCCTTTACCCTGCTTGGTCATAGCACGGTAGTGGGAGCTGCCAGTTTCACATGTTTTAACTCTGTCAGAGCACTTTGAAAAAGTGGTCTGTGGTATCTGGCTCTCGAGATTCGGAGAACGATGCCTCTTCGATTTTTGAGAAAGCAATCATGCTGGGGGTCTGACTCTCGAGATTCGGAGAGCAGTGTCTCTTCGATTTTGAGGAAGTAATCATGTTGGGAGTCTAGCTCTCGAGATTCGGAAGGCGGTGCCTCTTCGATTTTGGAGCAAGCAATCTTGTTGGGAGTGTTGTCTTGAATGTGAGTAAAGGTTGGACATGTTTGCTAGTCTACCCTTGCCACGAAGCACAAAGGTTGACACACAGGGACTTTCCAATTATCCAGCAATGGTACTGTTCCTTTACCCTCTCTTCGATTTTGAGAAAGTAGTCATGTTGGGAGTCTGGCTCTCGAGATTCGGAGGACGGTGCCTCTTCGATTTTGGAGCAAGCAATCTTGTTGGGACTGTTTTCTCGAATGTGAGTAAAGGTTGGGCATGTTTGCTAGTCTACCTTGCCACGAAGCACAGAGGTTGACACACAGGGACTTTCCAATTATCCAGCAGTGGTACTGTTCCTTTACCCTTGTGGGTAATAATATGGTAGCTAGACCTTCAAAATTTATGTGTCTAAACTTTGTTAGTGCTGTTTCTTTGCTATTCTTTTACCTTTCTTGGTCAGAGCGATGTAGTGGGAGCTGCAAGCTTCACGTGCTCAACTTTGGCAGAGAACTTTGGCAAAGTGATCTGTGGTACCCATGAGTTATTGTTGCGTGTGGGAAGTGGGTGATTGAACAGTAAGATTCATGTGCTTTCTACTTCACCAGAAGTCTTCGACAGAATGCCCATAATTTCTGCAAAGCTGAGTGTGCGTGTGACAGGTGCTGACAAGGCTAGAAAAGTAGATGCCTCTTCGATTTCTGAGATCGGCCCTCGTGGTCTCTGAGCAGCCCAGCTTTTGAGAAAGCGAGCGCCTCTTCGATTGATTCGGAGAACGGTGCCTCACCGATTTTTGAGAAAGCAATCATGCTGGGGGTCTGGCTCTCGAGATTCGGGGAGCAGTGTCTCTTCGATTTTTGAGAAAGTAATCATGTTGGGAGAGTGGCTCTCGAGATTCGGAGGGCGGTGCCTCTTCGATTTTGGAGCAAGCAATCTTGTTGGGAGTGTTTTCTCGAATGTGAGTAAAGGTTGGGCATGTTTGCTAGTCTACCTTGCCACGAAGCACAGAGGTTGACACACAGGGACTTTTCCAATTATCCAGCAATGGTACTGTTCCTTTACCCTCTCTTCGATTTTTAAGAAAGTAGTCATGTTGGGAGTCTGGCTCTTTAGATTCGGAGGACGGTGCCTCTTCGATTTTGGAGCAAGCAATCTTATTGGGAGTGTTTTCTCGAATGTGAGTAAAGGTTGGGCATGTTTGCTAGTCTACCTTGCCACGAAGCACAGAGGTTGACATACATGGACTTTCCAATTATCCAGCAGTGGTACTGTTCCTTTACCCTTGTGGGTAATAATATGGTAGCTATACCTTCAAAATTTATGGGTCTAAACTTTGTTAGTGCTGTTTCTTTGCTATTCTTTTACCCTTCTTGGTCAGAGCGATGTAGTGGGAGCTGCAAGCTTCACGTGCTCAACTTTGGCAGAGAACTTTGGCAAAGTTATTTGTGGTACCCATGAGCTATTGTTGCGTGTGGGAAGTGGGTGATTGAACAGTAAGATTCATGTGTTTTCTACTTCCCCAGAAGTCTTTGACAGAATGCCCATAATTTCCGCAAAGCTGAGTGTGCGTGTGACAGGTGCTGACAAGGCTGGAAAAGTAGGTGCCTCTTCGATTTCTGAGATCGGCCCTCGTGGTCTCTAGGGAGCCCAGCTTTTGAGAAAGCGAGCGCCTCTTCGATTTCTGAGATCGGCCTTCGTGGTCTTTGAGCAGCCCAACTTTTGAGAAAGCAAACGGCTCTTCGATTTCTGAGATCAACCCTCGTGATCTCTAAGCAGCCCAACTTTTGAGAAAGCAAACGCCTCTTCGATTTCTGAGCAGGCGCCTCTTTGATTTCTGAAGCTCCGTCGAGTGCAGATTTTTATAGAGGCTGGCATTAAGTTCCAAAGCACACTTGAATCTCCACCAGTAGAAGCTTCATTCTTGCACTTCTAAGATCTTGATTTGTCCGACCTCTTCTCTCTTCAACACCTTTGAAAATGTCTGGCCCCTCCGACCGTCGTTTTGACTTGAACCTTGTTGAAGAGGCAGCCCCGCCTTCTCCAGACAACATATGGCGCCCATCCTTCGTCTCCCCAACTGGTCCTCTTACCGTTGGGGATTCCGTGATGAAGAATGATATGACTGCTGCGGTGGTGGCCAGGAACCTTCTCACTCCCAAAGATAACAGACTACTTTCCAAACGGTCTGATGAGTTAGCTGTTAAGGATTCGCTGGCTCTCAGTGTTCAGTGTGCAGGTTCTGTGTCTAATATGGCCCAACGCCTATTTGCTCGAACCCGCCAAGTTGAATCATTGGCGGCTGAAGTGATGAGTCTCAAACAGGAGATTAGAGGGCTCAAGCATGAGAATAAACAGTTGCACCGGCTCGCACATGACTATGCTACAAACATGAAGAGGAAGCTTGACCAGATGAAGGAAACTGATGGTCAGGTTTTACTTGATCATCAGAGATTTGTGGGTTTGTTCCAAAGGCATTTATTGCCTTCGTCTTCTGGGGCTGTACCGCGTAATGAAGCTCCAAATGATCAACCTCTGATGCCTCCTCCTTCTAGGGTTCTGTCCAGTACTGAGGCTCCAAATGATCCCCCTCCGGTGCCTTCTCTTTCTGGGGCTCTACCGACTGCTGAGACTTCTCCTAAGCAACCTTTGTGAAGGCTCCCTCTTGTGTGTTTATTTTGACTCATGTATATGTACATATTTGTAGCTTATCGGGGATATCAATAAATAAGCTTTCCTTCATTTCAACGTATTGTGTTAAATACACCAAGCCTTCTTCGCTAAGTTCTTTGAATTTTCTTTTGTTGAAGCTTGTATGTTGAAGCTTTCTGAGTGGAGCATGTAGGTTGGGGTAGTGTTCCCTTAATTTCCCGAGTGAGGAAAACTTCTTGGTTGGAGACTCTCTCTTGCCTTTATGTTGGCTTCTTCAACCGTATCATCCAATCTCAGTTCTCTGTTAACAAATTTTACTGGGGCATAATAGTTAGACAAATTAAACAATGATAAAAAAAAAAAATCAGAAAACTGGAGGCAAAAAGATGAAACAAACTTACTCAGAAGAAATGAAAACTAATTTTCCTCTTGTTTCACTCTTGTTTTGCATTCTGATAAGCAATAGCTGCAGCGGAACAAAATTAAACACAATAACGTTTACTGAGGCATAATATATCATTGCTAGAAAACGAACCATTCACTTTCAGGTTTACGGTTTCTCCATTAGTGTAACAGAAGCACTATCTTGGGAAGATCTAGAAATAAAAAGCAAACCCCAAATATTAAAATCCGGAAAGAACTTACCTTTACTTCGTCAATGATGACCAAACAAAACCCTAAACTTTGAATTGCAATAGAACTTAAAATGACTTTGAATTGCAATAGAACTCCATTAAAGATTCAACTAATTATTTAGCTTCTTTAACTTTCTAACTAATTGACTAAGCTCAAGTTGATGCAAAGATGAAAACATGTTGTAAATACACTCGCTCAAGATAATTAATTATAAATGACACTATCCTAAGTTCCAAATTTTATTCAAAATTTCGGTTGATTCAATGTACTTTGTTTGACATATAGGCACTCATACACCAAAGAATTAGGGTATGTTGTTTAAAATTTAGAAGATTGTTATTGACATATTGTGTGCTCTAACTATTGGTGTTGTACTTTTCGTGGTGGGAAACATGAATATTTTTAGCTTGTGGTAAAATACAACATTACAAAAAGGCCAGAGGAGATATTCGAATTAAAAGTTTCTGAAAATCATCAAAGAAGAATAACACAAATGTTGAAATGAAAAAAACTCTGTACATTGCAAGTAGGGCCCGTGATTACAACCAATTTACACAAATCTTACAAATTAATCATGTTTTAATTGAAAATTCTAAAGCTAATCTCAATGCATAAACGTAATTCAACTCTATGAACTCAAATCCAGAATGATGTGAACAGATTCTTGCTTTAATGTATCAAGACCAAAGAACTGCCATGATAGAGCTTCATAGCAAATTCCAAGAGAATTCAGATTCACGATTAAATTAGATCTTCAAACACATAAATGAGTGATACTCACTCAAATTCAAAACATAACATTCAACTCGAAACCAATATCTTCCCCTCTATCTTTCTAGCAATCGGAATGAATAAATTCCTACATAACGACTCCAACTATACTGATAAAAACAAAAACCTATTTGTACCGTATTAGCATATGTAGCTGAATCCTAAATAATTTTTTTCATAAAACTAGGTAATACACCAAATCCGCAGCAGTTGATGATCAACCAAACAGGGGAAAGCAAACAATCCATTACCAAATTTCCCAAATCCAAATTAAATAAATCATACAGTATATTGCTATACACTAACAAAAAGTTCCAGTCTTTAACTTTTAGCAAATGAATGCATGGCTAAAAGGTTAACAACAAATTCATAACATTGTTTCATACCTTATTGACATTGAGATCAATAGGCCAATAATGGAGGGACTTATAGAAGTAGTCGAACATTTCCAAAGACGACCCAAATGAAATAAGGCCCCCATTTGTGATTCTAAATTTCCTTCAACCACCAAAAAATTATATAAGTAAAAAAACTTTGACCGAAATTGAACTCCGATATCAACTGGGATAACGTTGTAGTTAAACGAATGATGATTAAGTCAAACAATTTACTACCTTGGTAGGGTCGGTTGGCTAAGTACAAATTTGGTACTTCTTGTTGACCATTGGAAATTATGAGAACTTTCTCGGTGTCTCCGTCGTCGTTTGTGCTTCCAAATTGCGACAATGGTGTACTGTCGCATGGCCAACGGCAGCACCGAGTAGCCCTCGTAGTCTATGTGCTCTCTGGTCAAGTTCACTCTCCTTGAATGCACACACAGTCCGATCAAAAACTCAAACACACGCACAAAATCGAAAATTGAAAAAAAAAAAAAAAAAAAAAAAAAAAAAAAAAAAAAACCCAAAGAGAGAGAGAGAGAGAGAGATAAAAAGGGACCGACCTGGAGAGCAAGCGAAGAGTTGGGCCTCCTCGAGTTGGGTGGAGTGATCGTAGACGGCGTTGATGGTGTCATGAATTGGTTGGAATCGGGAGTTCTTCGTGCTTTGCCATTTTTGCCATTAACCTGATTAAACACAAACTGAAAGCTCCCCATGACGGTGACGGTGACAGTGACGCAAGCAAACAAAAGCTTTAAATTATCTAATTAAACAATATTTAGGACACTGTTTGATGAAGAATATGATGATTGGATTATATAGGACACTGAACTGAATAAAATCTTGGGTAGATAAAACTAATTTTAGGGTTTCAATATATTTCTCTATTCTTCTCTCATACGAAGCAACACATATATATACATACTCAATCCTTGTTCTACAAGGAATATTAAAGACATAAAATGAGAGTTATACCCAAACTAGGAAACACAATCACATTCCTATTGTATTATTGTTGACTCGCGCCAATACTCCCCGTCAAGTTGGTGCATAAATATCACCTAGGCTTAACTTGTCAAGTGAGTCTTGAAACCTTCTTGCAGAAACTGCATAAGTTAGAATATCTGCCAACTGTTCTTTTATCTTCACGAACGGAATGTCAACCAACTTAACATCCAACTTTTCTTTGGTAAAATGTCTATCCACCTCAACATGTTTGGTCCTATCATGCTGCACCAAATTGTTAGCTATCTGTCGTGCTGCTTGATTATCACATTACAACAGCATAGAACCTTTTGGTTTAAACCCGATCTCAGTGAGTAGAATCTGAAGCCATAGAAGCTGACAAATACCATGTGCCATTCCTCTATACTCAGCCTCGGCCGAAGACCTTGCCACCACATTTTGCTTCTTACTTCTCCATGTCACAAGATTACCAACTACAAATATGAAGTATCCCGACGTAGATCGCCGATCAGTGATATTTCCAGCCTAATCTGCATTGGTATACCCTTTCACCTCTATATGCCCATGCTTTCTATACATCAACCTTTTTCCTGGAACTCATTTTAAATAACATAGAATCCTCATTACTGCTGCCATATGATCCTCACTAGGAGCTTGCATAAATGGACTCTCCACACTTACTGCGTAAGCAATATCTGGTATTGTAAACGACAAATATATCAACCACCCTACCAATCTTTGATACCTTTCCCTATTCACTGGGACTTGATCTTGATAAATTGCTAGATGATGATTCTGCACAATAGGTGTATCTATTGGTTTACACCCTAACATACCAGTTTCAGACAAAAGATCCAATACATACTTTCTCTAAGATAAGTATATTCTATACCGAGACCTAGCCATTTCAATTCCTAAGAAGTATTTAAGTCCTCCAAGATCTTTCATCTCAAACTCAGAAGACTAATGCCCTTACAGACGTTCGATTTCCATTGTATCATCACCTGTGACAATCATATCATCTACATATATGATAACCAAAGTTACCTTGCCATCCTTGCGTTTGATGAACAAAGTATGGTCTGCGTTTCCCTGTCGATACCCATACTTCTTCATTGCTTGGGTGAACCACCCAAACCACGCTTTGGGTGACTGTTTAAGGCCATACAGTGCCTTCCGAAGTCTACACATTTTCCCACTAGAGTTCGCAGCACCATAACCTAGTGGAATATCCATGTACACCTCTTCCTCTAAATCACCATGTAGAAAAGCATTTTTAACATCAAACTGTCTCATAGGCTAGTCATGGTTCGCAACAAGAGATAATAAAACTCTAATGGTATTCATCTTTGCAATAGGAGCAAAAGTCTCCTGATAATCAACCCCAAAGGTTTGGGTAAAACCTTTGGCCACTAGCCTCACCTTGTATCTATCAATTGTTCCATCTGCCTTATGTTTAATAGTGAACACCCACTTGGACCCCACTGATTTCTTTCCTTTGGGAAGTGGGACCACACTCCATGTATTATTCTTTTGTAGTGCTTCCATTTCAACTTGCATTGCTTCTGTCCATTTAGAATCTTTCAAAGCTTTCTTAACTCTGGTGGGTATTTTGATGGTTTCCATTTGCTGAACAAATGCACAGTATTTTGGTGAAAGTCAATGAGTATAGACATAGTTTGAAATGGAATACCGCACCTTTCCTTCTGGAAAGTACCTGTCCAGTGGTTTTCCTCGATTTTGTCGAAGAGGCAACATATAAGATGGTTCAATAATTTTCAATGAGTACTTACCTCGGGAATATCCATTGGAGTATGAAGGAGTTTGTTATTGTCTTTTAACCCACTAGAACTATTACTCGAATTTAGGGTAATTATCACCCTTGAAGGCTCACCCGGACCAACACCACAATTTCTATTTGGTTCGCCTGGGCTGGCAGCTGCAGATGGGCAGACTTCAGCAGCTGCGACCCATCATTATTCTCGCTGGGTACAATATGTGGCCTACTTGGGCAAACATCACACGGTCCTGTCGCATTCCCTCTACCATGGTTAGCACGCCTATCAGGGCAATCATGGTTAGCTTCATCTAGGCAAGTTTGGTTAGTAACGTCTAGACCGTTTTAGTCTAAATGCTCATTTAGGCTATTTACAGAAACAATAGGCATAATATCGAACCAACCATAATCTTCACCTGAGGTTGTCTCCCCATGAGGAGTATGGCTGGAAGGAAAAAATAATTCATCTTCAAAGAATGTAACATCCATGGTGACGTACATATGTCTAGTGGATGGATGATAACATTTATAACCTTTTTGTTAAGGATTAAAGCCAAGGAACACACACCGCACTGCACATGAATCAAGATTGCTTATTTTATTTTTGTGAAGATGAACATATGCCACACAACCAAAAACCCGGGGTTTGAGATGAAGAGTGGAATGGAGCAAAACATGATCAGCAAGCACAGCTAATGGGGGTTCTAAAAGACAGAACACGCGATGACATTCGGTTCATGATATAAATAGCATAAGTAATTGCATCATCCAAATATGTCTTGGGTGCACAGCTACTAATAAGAAGGGCACGGGTAATCTCAAGGATATGCCGATTTTTTCATTCGGCAACTCCATTTTGTTGTGGGGTCTAAGGACACATAGTTTCATGAAGAATGCCCTTTTTCAGTAAAAAACTGAGAAAGGTCCTGATTAAGATGCTTACCACCATTGTCTGACCGAAGCACTTTAACAGGAAGTGAATACTAAGTATAGACCATGTGATAAAATGCTTTGAAGATGTCACCCACATCACTTTTATTTTTCATGAGGTACAACCAAGTCATCCTAGTGCAATCATCAACAAATGTTACAAATCAACGGACACCATGCTGAGTAGTAACCGAAGATGTCCCCCACACATCAGAATGAATTAACTTAAACGGAATTGTTCTTTTATGCAAACTTGAGGGATAAGAAGCTCGATGACTTTTGGCTAATGTGCAAACATTACACTTTAATGAAGAATAAAAAATATTACCAAATAATGACGGAAGTAATTTTCGCAAATAACCGAAGGAAGCATGACCAAGACAACAATGCCACAACTAAATAGTCTTCAAATTTCCACTATCACGACCTTGAACTTGATGAATACGGCCTTGTGTAACATCATCAACATAGTACAACCCCTTCCTCTTAGTACCACGCCCAATGATCGCCTGAGTTCAGATGTCTTGAAGTAAACAGAAAGACGGAAACATTTGCACAACATAGTGTAATTGCTCAGTGACCTGTCCCACCAATAACAAATCGCTAGAGCGTGTGGGAACAAGTAAGCAATTGTGTAAGGAGAGAGTAGGAGTGAGTGCAATCGAACCTGCCCTTATAACTGAGGCAACACCTCCATTGGCAGTGACAATACTATCTCAGGGTGGTGGTGTTGTATAGTTAAATAAAGTAAGATCATAAGTCATATGATCATTGACTCTGGAGTCAATAATCTAACATGTATCAAGATCAACAGATGCAATCAAAGTTGTACTAGAGTTACCTGGACCATTAGACTACTCTTAAGAATTAATTAAATTTACAAATGACAGCTCCTAGCCTAAACCGTCTGGGTTCGGATCACTTATACTGCCCAAATCATAATGGTTGTCTGTTGATGGGCACAACATACCCATAATGCTTACACTGGTGTTCTTAACATCAGAAACTGGCCCCACATGCGAGTCAGCGTATGGTCTAACGTGTGTGACAACATGCTCTGCCAATTACCTGACTTAAGCTTGCGCTTGATAATCAACCATGGAAGAGACTATTGGCACTTGGAGTCTAGGTTGGCAGCGTCTCTTGCTTCAAGACACTGGCCTTTAGTTTTCCTAAGTTTTGTTGCTTAGTAAACCTTTCTTCTTTCAGTGGGATAAGCAACAATGTCTCTTGCTTCAAGACACTAAGCTTTAGTTTTCCTAAGTTTTGTTGCTTAGTAAACCTTTCTTCTTTCAGTGGGATAAGCAACAATGTCTCTTGCTTCAAGACAATTGCTAGAAGAAAAAAAAAAAGAATTTCTTTTGGGTTTTAGAGACGTGGTTGGAAAAATTGTTTCTTTTGGTTTTCAGATGCAGCGACGGTAAGGAGAAAGAGAGTCAAGATCGGAACCTGCTCTAATACCAAAATAAAACTAATTTAGGATTTCAATATATTTCTCTATTCTTCTTTCATAGGAGGCAACACATATATATACATACTCAATTCTTGTTCTACAAGGAATATTAAAGACATAAAAGGATAGTTATACCAAAATTAGAAAACACAATTACATTCCTATTGTATTATTGTTGACTCATGCCAATAACCTGGAGGACATGGTAATGAAGGCGATGGCGGAGGCGGATGTGAGAGAAGATTCAGAAGACTGAATGCTTAGAAGGCTAGAAACTACTGGCGGTGATGGCAGCGGAGAAGGATGGGTTCTAGTACACTAAGCAACTGTCTGAATTTCTCACTGGTTTGCGGGGGTGGAGTGACCTGTTGCTTACTTTAAATGTGCGGTATATGGCAGTTCCATCTCTGCAGTTTGCAACTGCTACAAGTGTTGTGAAGAGTTTCATCTCTACAGTTTGCAACCGCTGCAACTGCAGTTGAGAGTTCGTGGCTTCGTGCCCATCTGGAGTTTTTTTTTTCTTTTCTTATTTATTTATTCATTTACTTCTTGTTTCTATATAGTGGAAAGATAGAATGTGATGAAGTAGTTTTAGGATGATTAATTTAAGGGATGACAATGAATTTAAAGTGTGTGTGTTTT